GGCCGCATGCATGACAGGCGGGCGCGCTACCGCTTGAGCCACATGCCCAGCCCTGATTTACTAGTATCTTCTTAACTGTGTTTCAAAAAATATTATAATTTTGTCTATAAAGATCTTCCTCCTCTTTTGAGTGTTTTCTGAATAGGTATTTTATATGTTTTTATTGTTATCATAAATGGCATCTTTTATGAAATTAAATTTTCTAAATGTTTATGGATTGTGTGTAAAGATCAAATTTTTAAATTGTTTTTGTAGGAAGCAGTCATTTCGAACATACCCATAGCTATGATGATTTAATATAGACTGGTTTTAGATTTTCCTTGTGTATACTTTTATCCTTTACATAAAAAAAGCTTTATCAAGAAATTTAGGTCTGTAATCCAGGGTGGATTATTTGTTATGCTGTACTCAGGGTCAGGTTTGTTTGTTTCCATCTGAATAATCAGTTGTTCCAGCAACATTGTTGGAAAAACTCTCCTGTCCCTCTTGAATTTTGGGGGCTCCCTCGTTGTAGATCAGATGGGCATTTGAGAGGGGTCTACTTCCAGACACTGCGTTCTCCTCCAGTGAAGGGTCTATGCAAATACCACGCTCTCTTGATTCTATAGCTTTGTAATAAATCCTGAAACCAGATACGTACACCTTGCCTTCGAGCAGCAATAAGAAAGCACATCCCCAGGAGGGTCCTAATGGAGGGTCCCAGGAGCCTCATTCTTTTTTTTTTTTAAAGATGGACACAATATCTTTATTTATCTTATTTTTTTATGTGGTGCTGAGGATTGAACCCAGTGCCTCACAAGTGCAAAGCAAGTGCTCTGCCGCTGAGCTATAACCCCAGCCCCTAGGAGCCTCATTCTTAATTGCCCCAAACTAGCAATGTTTTCATCCAACAAAAAGAGAATGAATAGACGGACTGTGGCATGTTCACACCATGGGATATGGTTTAATAATGAAAAGCAATGGATACTGATAACGTAATAGTTTTGAGAAATCTCACAAATGATAAGCGGCAGCCCAGAGCCATGAAGAGAATATATTAAATGTAGTGTGTCACTCAGGATGCTCTAGAACAGGCAGAACTATTCTGTGGTGCAAAAAACTCAGAACAATGGCTGCTGGGGTTGAAGGGGCTAGAGTTAACCAGAGAGGACTATGGAGGAGCTTTCAGGGATGATAATACCCTCTAGCCTTATTCTTTTTCAAGAATAACAGCTTTGGGTGTTTTAGATCATTTAGATTTCCATTGTAGAGGTCAGTTTTGAAAGAGCAGCTTCTGGGTTCTGATTGGAATTGCTTTTGACCCACGGTCGGTTAGTGGAGAAGCAGGCACTTCCTGTGCGCCAGACTCCTGTCAGGTTTTGAACACATCAGAGAACAGAATGTCCCCTGCTGCAGTACCTTCAGGGGGACTTTTTGTTTCTTTGTTTTTGGGTGGGGCTTATTTGTTTAAATTTCTGGTGCTGCCCTCAGAACTGATTCCTAGAGGTGGAATTATTGGGTCAAAGAATACAAATGGGGCTAGCTCAGTGGCAAAGTGCTTGCCTAGCATGTGTGAGGCACTGGGTTCAATTGATTGTGAGCACAGCATAAAACTAAGTAGAGGTGTGCTGTCCATCTACAACTACAACAAAAATAAAATAAAAAAAAATAAAAACGAACAGTTTAAGGCTCTTTAATGTTTGCCAGAGGCCTCTAAGGCAGGCGTTGGTCTTCTAGGACTGAGCGCTGTGCTCAGCTCAAAGGGCTAGAACTGAGGGCCCAGTCAGCCGCCACCTTGAAGCGCTTCATCCAGCCGGAGAGACAGGCTGGCCATTCATGGGACAGTTTGAGTCCATCCAGTGTCTATAATAAAATCCAGATGAAGCAGCCAGTGTCCATACAGCAGCCCTCACGGGAAAGAAGTCTTAGCAGAAGCGGCAGCAGGGAAGTGCCTGGACGAGGAGTAGGCCTGGGGGTGTGGGCGAAGCCTGGATGGACGAACAGGAGGGAAGGAGGCACTTCAGGCCTAGCTGCATGGAGTGAGGGACAAAAGGTACTTGTTCTCCATGCGACCAGTCGGCTGCTATGGAGGGTATGGGCTCAGGGCTCCAGGAGGTGGACTGCAGGGAGCCAGAGCAGTCGCCGTGGGGGCCCTGGGTGCTGGGCCTCTGGCTTGGCCACAAGATAACGGAAGCACCTTCTACCTGGCTTCCCTCTTCACAGGTGCTGGGCTGTGCTGTGGAGCTCCCTGATGTCAGCTGCAAGCGGTTTCTGGATCAGCTCATCGGATTCTTCCATTTTTACAATGGGCCTGTTTCCCTGGCTTATAAGGTACAACTGTGATGTCTAGTCATGCTAAGCCTCTTCAGCGAGACAGTGTTCCCAGAACACAGCTTACCCACTGGGGCCCGATACTCTTCACATAGACCCTCCGTGTCCAGTGACCAGGTCAAGGGCCTCTTGAGCCCCCTCAGATGCCCATGTTTCTGAGTACTTGTCACCTCTGCTTCCCCTGGGATGGTTAGATAGAGCAGGCTCTGGTCCCCTGCTTCCCCAGAAAGTGCCCTGGATCTGTAATGGGGCTGGATAGCAGGACGGGGGCGGGGGGGACTTCAAAACAGGCCCTCCCTCTGGCTGGTTTTCTGTGCTATGAGCAACATTCATGGTATCTGCCAGAATCTGTCCCTCCACATCTCAGACAGTGACCTCAGACTGTTTCTGTGACAGAGCCGTTCTCAGGAAGAACTAAGCTCGCAGTGGAACACCTTCATCCAGCGCGTTCTGAGCAACACTAGCGATCTGCACAAGATATTCAATTCCCTCTGGAACTTGGACCGAACCAAGGTATCTGCCTCACCCTCCTCATTCTGTGTGCACAAGAACAGAGCCTCTGGACACCGTCCAGAAGTGTTCCTTAGAGAACGCTAGAGAACTGGCTGGATGGATCACTCCCTGGCAGGGCGGTTGGGAAGCCTTATACATGGCCCCTGGGCTGCTGCTCCTTAGCCATGAAGTAGGCTGGGCCAGGCCACTTGCAGAGCCACTGCCCTCATCCATGAAGGGGTGTCGTGATCCCACCTTGACGGCTGCTCTGATGGTACGGTGAGGCTGGGTCTCAAATGTCACCAAGAAAATACTCAGTAGAGGGAATACCAGGCCAGTCGTGGTGGTGCATACCTGTGATCCCAGTGACTGAGGAGGCTAAGGCAGGAGGATCTTGCAGGTTCGAGGCCAGCCTGAGCAGCGTAGTGAGGTCCTGTTTCTAAATAGAAAATAAAGGTGTCTGGGAGTTTGGCTCAGTGGCCAAGTACCCCTGGGTTCAATCTCTGGTTCCCACCTGCCCCCTCCCCCCACCACACACACACAAAAGGAGCACCATGTTGGTGTTCTCAGAAGTATGAACTCAGGAACCCACAGGTCCCTTGCCAATCCACAGGTTCCATGTTACCATCATGAAGGCCAGGACTGTGACCTTGCTGTGTCTGAGAGGGAGATGGGGAGGTTCTGCCATCCCCCTGTCTTGGGAGCTCATTGCAGCCCGGCTGCTCTGTGGCTGGCCTAACCACACCTCCCCCTTAAGAATGAGCCTTCTGAGCCCTGAGTGTCCTGCAGGAGCCCTCCTGGCCTCCCTGCTGTAGTAAGTGTGTCCTGCGCAGGGTGTGGCGCTGTGACTCTGCTTGACCTGGGGAAGGATTTTTCCTGGGGGACTGTAGTCTCAGGCCATGAAAAAATAGACGTAACTCCTTCACAGGGTTCTGCTCCAGGACTTGGCTCCATTCACACTGGGCTGTGACAGCTCATGGGCACTTGCAGGTGCTGGCCACCAAGCAGGCAGGGGGTGTTTACCAGGAGGAGGCTGTGGGGTTCGCAGGATGTTCTTGTCATTTTGGGAACTTATGAGCAGTTTACTCTTTTGGGTTTTTTTTTTTTTGGGGGGGGGGTTCGAGGGATTGAGCTCAGGGGCTCTCAACTACTGATCCCCATCCCCAGCCCTATTTTGTATTTTATTTAGAGAGGGTCTCACTGAGCTGCTTAGCACCTCACCGTTGCGGTGACTGGCTTTGAGCGTCCTGCCTCAGCCTCCCAAGCCTCCCAAGGATGATAGGCAAGTGCCATCGAACATGGCTGACAGTTGGCTCTTTCAAAGGCAGTGTAGCTGAGCTGAGTTGGCCTAAGGAAGGCCACGGTGCCTGTGTTTTATGTGACGGCATTGAGTGATGGGCTCTGCTCAGTGCTAGTCGGGTCTCCCCTCCCTGGGGCTGTGCTGCATAGTGCAGGGCAGACAGGTAGGTTTTGCTGACTCTGTGACCTGCATTTGGAGGGCATGCTCTCCTCTGTTGCTGCCACCTGGTCTTAGTATTGGTAGTCAGGGTCTCCTGAGTGACCCACTTTGTCCTTTAGGAACAGCCATAGGCCATATTTGCTGCATCTTCCAGCTCCCAGAAATGCTGCTTTGTACTAAGAACATGGTGTTTTGTGGCATCAGCAGTTGTGGGAATGGAGAGACAGAGCAGAACCATGGCACGACGCTACCTTTTTCCAGCCTTGGAGTTAGGACCTGCCCATTCGTCCTGTGCAGCCTCTTCCCTGGTCTCCTGGGCTGGTTGTGCGCATGCTTACTGGCGGCTGTGGTCTTGTCTGTGCAGGTGGAGCCGCTGCTGCTGCTGAAGGCAGCTCTCATCCTACAGACCTGCCAGCGCTCGCCTCACGTACTAGCTGGGTGCATCCTCTATGAAGGACTGTGAGTGACCCTGAGCCCCCTCCTCCACCCACACCCCCTGCTGCAGAACTGCCCACAGTGCCTGCGGGGCATGGGCAGGGAGCTTGGTCTCTAGCCAGTCTGTACGGGCTAGTTTGGCAAACATCAGGTAGCTGAGGTTTGACTTGGTGTCTGTCGCCTTCCTGGGGCACATCTGGGACTTGGAAGGTGTTGTGCCCAGGAAAGGAGGGGGCTGTGAGAGGGATCCACGTGGTTCTCAGTGGGGCCTTGCCAGGGTCTAGTGCCAGCACGAAGCCCCCAGGGTTGGCCAGCCAGCCTATGAGCAGAAGGGTCCCCGAAGTCTGCCGTGGCCTTCCTCCTGCTGCCCAGAGGACCCTGTGGCCTTGCTGCATTCAGCTTGCCTCTGTAGAGCAGCCATACACGCCTTTGCCCAGCTCCTTCCTGCCTCATGGCCAAGTCTGCATCCTGATTGGCTTCTGGGTGTCCTCACCCCCCTCACATAGTTGGAGGGCTTCTTCCTAAACCAAAGTGCCTAAGGCTCTCTATGCTCTCCCCGGGCCTCTCCTTCCAGAGGCTCTGCTCTCCCAGCAGGGTGGCCAGGGCCTGGAGCTCCCTACCAACCAGGTGGCTGCATGGCCAGGAATGCTCGGACACTTCCAGATGAGCTCTGGAGGCTGGGCTCTGGGTTTGCCAGTGCCCTGATCCTGCTTCTGTCCCCAGTGCTGTGGCCTTGGGCAGGCTGCTTAGCCTTGGTTCCCTCTCACGGGAAATGGAGACCCTCTGTGGGCCGTGCAGTGAATCTCACGTGTGGCAGGAGGAGGTGGTCCCAGTGCTGGCTGTCCCTGGCCCCTTCCCTGTTCTCAGCAGGATGGCTGTGCCATGGTTTGTGGGGCTTTCAAGCTCACATGGTAACTCACAATCAAAGATGATATTTTGCATTTTCTACGTATTTTTAAATTATATGATTGAATATATGGATGCCCTTATTGTTTAAAAAAAAAAAAAGAAATCCTCCAGCACAGAAACAGCAGAGCACAAAGTCCCTGTCTCTGTCCCCCACTCAGCCCCTTGCAGTCAGCAGTATGCAAATTTTCCTGCACTGGCAGGTCTGTAGGATGAGAGCTGCCTTCACACAGACACATGCATTGATTTTTAAAAATTTTTTTCTATTGTAGATGGACACACCTTTATTTTCTTTTTGTTTTTTTAATGTGGTGCTGAGGATGGAACCCCGTGCCTCATGGTGCTAGCCAAGTGCTCTACCTGAGCTACGGCCCCAGCCCACAGGCATTGATTTTGTCTTTTTCTGCTCTCTACAGAAGGGGGCTCGCAGGCCCCTGGGCTTCATGTAGCGTGGAGGTTGCTCTCCAGGCCCCGTGGTCCACCTGCTCTGTAAGGGCTGTGGTTTTGGTGTTCTGGCTGTGCCACAATCTATGTAATGTCTCTGATTTTTCACGGATAGTTGAGTCACTTACTTGTGTTGAATGTATTTCTCATTTCCCGGTAATTCACGTCCTTTTGCATAGGTCCTCCTATAAGCCTGGTCCAGGGGTCAGGTATGCTAACTATGGATAGGACCCCCAGAGTAGCCTCTGTGAGGGCTTTACTAATTGAACCTCCTGCCAGCCATGTCCCCAAGGCCCTTGACGGCAAGGAAGGATGGGCTCTTTTAAACCCAGAGGTCTCAGTGTGCTGCTTCTCACGGTGCTCCTGTTCCTGTCTCACCCCCAGGATCGTGAGCACCCAGCTGCAGCCCTCGCTCACAGCCAAGGTCCTGCTTCACCAGCCTGCACCTCGGGACCAGGTATGCTGAAGCCCGCCCTCCTGGCCAGAGTGCCTGTCCCGAGCTGGGGGCTGACTTTGAATGCCAGCTGGGCCGGGGCACTTGTGTCCCTGAGTCTCACCAAGACCCCTTGGCTATCAGTGTGGGTCCCTCCAAAGAGGAGTCCTTGGAGAGGCAGAAGTCTCCTTCTGCACGCTGGGCTGGGTTGGCTTTTTTCTCCACCCCAAGTGGGACTCTTGAGACTTTCCCCTGGGATGGCTGTCATGTCAGAGAGATGTCAGGGTTTTCTGGACCTCACTGTAAAGGACGTGTCCTTAGAAGGACCTAGGAAAACAGCAACTCTTAAAACACTTCCATTTGGTGCTCATTCAATTGTGCTGCTAGTAAGGACAGTCCGGCATAGTCCCTGAGAGTGGTGTCGCCCACAGTCGAGCTGCAGGAGGTAACTGTCGCCAGCTCTGCTACATTTTCTTCTAGTCCTTTTAATTTTTTGCCATTCCAAGGATTGAGCCCAGGAGTACTTTGCCACTGAGGCACACCCTAGCCCTGTTTGTTTATTTTTTTGAGACAGGGTCTCACTGAGTTGCCTAGGCTGGCCTTGAGCTTGCTGTCCTTCCTCAGCCTCCTGAGTCACTGGGATCACCCCTGTGAAATCAGACTTTTTAAGGTGTTAGTGGGCTCCGTCCAGGCTCCTCACCCCTATGGGGTGTCCGTTAGCAGAGCCCCTGTGGTAAGCAGTTGATGATGGGGACTTATGGAAACCCGACCCTTTTCCTGACACGAAGCTTCTCAAGATCCACTCTAAGAAAAGACTAACTAGTAAACAGGTTTCCATTCAGAACAATCACAGTAGGATTTGTGAAAGTGAAAAATCAGGTGCCACCTGACTGTCTGCAGGATGTGGCTTGCTCTGGACCAGGGGCCAGATGCTGCTAATAAAGCTTTATTGAACTGCCGTCAGCTCCTGCAGCAGGGCTAGCTGCTGGGGCACAGCCACGTGGCTCTGGAAGCTGGAGAGTGGTTGTCTCGCCCTGTCCAGGAAAGTATGCTCAGCACTGGTCTGAGGTGGGGAGACTATCAACTGTCCATGCAAGTTTACACTTGAGGAGATTTTAGCAGCCATTGAAAATGGCCCGAAGAACTGCGTGTTAGTATTTAAAGTGGAAAAATCAAATATTATGTCTCAAAAGAATTAAAAAAAACCCACAAGGACTTAGAAGAAAAATGCTTAAATATGCTAACAGTATTATTTGCTTGAAGATTAGGGATTATATGTTATTCTTTTTTAAAGCATTTTTGTCTAGAATGAACTTCTGTGTGGCTTGGTAACCTCAAGCAAAAGCATGGCTTTAAGATTCCCAGCAGAGAAAGCCAGCCACGTCATTTCACATGAGTCATTTTGGCTAGAGGAGCAGTCTGTGTTGTGTTTTGGTTTTGTCTTGTTTTGGTGGATCCTTTTGGCACCTTTAGGTTGAGGTTTGAGAAAAAACCCTTCAGTTTCTAGCCTTAATCTTGGACCAGAATAAGCAGGAGATGTGTCTGTCTTCTAGGGCGAGGGTCACAGGCCTGCCCCGTGTCTGCTGTGATGGACTTGGTGTGAGTTCTCGTTGGGGTGGGGGCATGTGTGGCTCCTCTCTAGAATGTGAAGTCCCCAAAGATGTAAAGGAACACAGACCCCCACTTGTTCTTCCTGTGGAAAGACAGGACTGAGCTGGGCCTGAAGCTGGTGGGCGCTGCCTGGCAGCCTGAGAGGCACAGACCCCGCCTCCGCCCAGCCGTGGCAGGAGCCAGCAGCTTGGGGGAGCTTCTGTTCCATCTGCCAGGCTCTTGGCATGTGGCTGGGACAAGCTCCCTGGGCTTGGCCAGGTCCTGTGAGCAGATGGCACAGGTTCCTCACGGTCAGGTCAAGAGGAGCACGCGGCGCCCCGAGCTGACCTGTGTGCCTGTTTGTTTTCAGAGACTCTCCGCAGCAGGGGCTGCCCCACAGGAAGCGGGTAAGTGGCGTGGTGGCATTTGGGAAAGGCACTCTTGTACGCCGCCTTTCACTGGACAAGCTACGTAAAGGCCACCAGTGCCGTATGTTCCTTTCCTCTGCTCTGAAGATTAGGAAAATGGGTCTGGTAGGGCCTGGGGAACAGGTAGTTGCCTGGCTGAGTCCTGATTGTCAAGCTGGAGGTCCAGGCGCACCCTCCCCAGCTCAGTGTTGTGACACCGCATGTTCAGGTTCCAGGGGCTGGCGATGGGGAAAGGGTAAGAAAGGCGGAGACTGCCCAAAGGCCCTTTTGCAGGACACAGAGGTGTCCCCAGAGGACTTGGTTTCATTTTGAGCTCTACTTGAGGGCTGATCCGTGTCAGTTGGAAGCGTTTTTTCCTAGCTTGTGTCTTTTTCTCACTAAGGGCCACTCTACTTTCTTCCACTGACCGTCTCCCTGGTCCACAGCTGGCAGTAGCCTTGTCTGCACAGGCTCTTTCCTTGCTGGTTACAGAAATTGAGCTACAGTTTTGTGGCTTTTCGTCTGGCTGGGGATGCATTTCCAACGCTGCTGTCCAAGCCTGGGGGTGGGGGGCAGGTGGCGGTTGGATGCAGCAACCCAAGGACAGTCCCTGCCTCTGTTTCTCCTGGCCGTGCGGAGAGCTTTCCCACGATGCTTTGCAATTCCAGGAACAGCGTTCCCCCCGAATGTTCTGATCACACCTGTATTCGTGACCGAAGAGGAAGCTGTGAGCCTCCGAGAGTTCCCAGCGGAGCGGGTGCCTGGGTAGGTGAGGAGCTCACAGGGGTTCATCTTGCAGCCCCTAAGACAAACCTGGGACTTCCCACCCTTCCTCAGCCCTCCTGCTCCTACTCTGACCTGCTCGGCTCCATCTGTAACTGCAGGTGCTGGTCACAGGGGTGTGGTGTGGTTAAGAGGACAGTGGGTCCCATGTCCCAGACCTCTTCCTTATCAGCAGGGGACTTTGAGGAAGTCCATTCCCTGCCTGAGCCCCAGCTTATTCATCCGTCAAGTGGACCCCATAATGTGTGTGTACAGCTCCCAGTAGAGGGCCTGACACACAGGAGACCCTCTGTGCAGGGGGCTGCCATGTGCAATAGGTGATCCTGTCGTCACTGCATGGAGCACCAACCCTGGGCGTTGTCTTCCTTCACTCCTGGAGTTGGTTTCTGTGGGCCCAGCTCCCACTCCTCCCGGGCCTCTCAGGGGTCAGTGCTTCCCTCCCCTCTCCACTGCTGGCCTTCTCATGCCCACTGCCCTCTCCCTAGCTCTCCCACGCCTTCAGCCCGACTCCAGGACACTCCAGCCCAGCATGCTACAAAGAGTCGGGGCACATCTGCCCCAAAGGAACATGCCACCAGGCACGCGGAATCTGTGTCCTGTATGCCAGTGACCACTCCAGCGCCTCTGAGCCCAGGGAGAGCCTGGCCAAGTGGCAGGCAGGAGAATGGGCATGTGCCTGGCCGGGAACTGGAGCCCCTTGTGTCTGCGGGACTGCGCAGCCTGGTCCAGAGCCAGGGTCTTGGGCTCAGCTGCTCGCTGCAGGAGCCAGGCTTTCCCGAGGGAGAGCTGGACTTGTCTGAAGTCCACATTCCAGAAGCTCGTGAAGAAGGACCGTCTTCAGGCCATCTTGCTTTCCCACATGTGTGTGCCCTGGGTGGCAGAGGTCCCTGCAGCCAAGAACCTGTGAATGGTGCCAGCAGTTTGGAGCCCACAGTGCCTGAGGATTCAGCTGTCAGCAGCCGCTTCTCTCCTGCCCCTCCTGAAAAACTCACCCAGAACGGAGTCCTAGAACAGGGCGAGGACCTTCCTGCCACCAGTGGCCACACCCTTGTTCCTGGAGCAGATCCTCTCCCCAGAAGGACCAGCAGGCCCTTGCCACCGCCTTGCCCAGATCCAGGGCAGAGAGAGACTGAGCTCTCTTGCGGGGAGCAGGGTGTGGCTCAGGGTGTCGATGGGGTCCACAGGAGCCTCGAGGGCCCTGGATTGGAGGGCAGTTCAAACTCAGCCAACCCTCAGGGTGACAGGCCCTCTGCAGACAGAGCGGACTGCACGCTGGCCGCAGCAGGGTCCCACACGGGACTTGTGCAGATGAACCTGTACACCCACAGCGTCAAGGGCCTGGTGCTGTCCCTGCTGGCCGAGGAGCCACTGCTGGGAGATGGCGCCGCCATTGAGGAGGTGGTGAGTGTCTCCAGAGCCCCTCCCCAGCCCCCTGTCCTCTCCCTTCCTGCTAGAAATAACGGGCAGGCTGCTCCTCCCCTAGCGGGCTCAACCCGCACAGGGCCTGTGTCTCTGCAGCTGGGCCGAGGGTCGGAGCTGTGTCTGGGGTCTCCTGGGGCAGTGAGGGATGAGCACACGGCGCAGGGCAGCTGCAGAGGTACCCAGATGTGGCTTCTCTCCCACTTCCACTTCCTCTGGTCTCAGTGGCTGGGGTCCCAACTCTCACTCTCCAGGGTGGTGCTGCCCCCTGAGCCTCTGCTTCCTCATCAGTAGCCCAGGGGCAGCGAGATGGTACAGGCAGGGGTGGGGCAGGGCCACTGTGACACTCCTGTGCTGGCCTGGTTTCCTGGCTGCGCAGCTCCAGGTTGCATGCAGGTGGAATCTGCTCTGCAGGGGTTGCACCCCGGGAGTCCCCTAGAAACCCTGCACTCTCACCTCAGCCCCACCACTACACACAGTGACCCACTGTGCCTTCCTAGAGGGCCTGGGGCATCTGAAGTCCTAACTGGCTCTGGAAGGTTCCTCTGCAGTCACTGCATCATCCACACAATGCAATGTGAGCTGACCTTCTCCGGGGCCTGGGCCCACGCTCACGCTGGAGATTCAGTTGCTATAGTAACAGCCGTGCTTTGGTTGGCAGGGAAAGTGCAGCAGGAGGAACAGCAGGTTGAAATTGCTGCAGGGCAGTGGTGTCCTGGGGCTTGTTTTTATTCTTAAATCTATATTATCCCAGGCCCATCTTATTAGCATGCAGGGCTTGTGACCCTCCACAAATGAGCAAGTCACCTTGAAGGTGGAGGATGGGAGGAGGGAGGCTGCACAGAGCTGCCAGCAAGAGCCTGCTCCTCTAGAGCTGCCTGGCTCATCTCCCCTTTCCTCAGACCCTGGAGTCATGGCTTGTGTGCCTCCCGTGTCCACATTCCCCACAACTCTGAGTGACTCCTGCTCCTCCCGCGACAGTGAGGAGGACTAGCGCTGCAGGTGTCCTGGTGCTCTGGCCCACAGTACCAGACCTTGGGATTGTTGTTCTGGAGGCCTGGTGTGTGGGTGTAGTAGACTGGGCAGATCTCTTTCTACTCTGCCCCCAGCCCCACCCCAAGGAAAAAGACCGCCCAGGCTGCTGAGGAGGTGTGTGCTGCACTCGCCTGTGCTGAGCGCGTTCTCCCTCTGACTGCAGCTAAGCTTTGCAGGGTTCCCCCAGGTCATGGCTCCCTTCTCAGGGTAAGAGCTCTGAGCCTGGCGGAGGTAGAAGCCTCATTGCAAGTGGTGGCTCCAGAGTTCTTGCCAGCTGCTTCTTCCTTGTCTCAACCTCTCTGTCCCCGACTCATCTGCCCTTGTCTTGATAGGTGGGAAGGGGGTCTTTGAGGCCATCCATGTTGTTATGACAACAGCCTCCATGAGCGGGTATCTCGGGGAGGCTTGGTGCTGGCTGGGCCCCAGGAAGTGGACAAGCTTTGTGAAAGAAGAAAAGCTCAACTTTTCTAAAGGAGTGGGGGGTGACTGACTTTGATGAGCCTGATGGTTGGAGAGGGGGTTGTTCATCAGAACCAAGGTCTCCCTTACAATCAGGAGAGACCTTTCAGTACCTTTTGGTCCCCGCCCTGCGGAGAACATACTTGACCTGATTTCCCTGCAGCCTGCTGCTGCCGTCTGGGAGGCCAGAACCCTGCAGAATGGTCCAGTACAGCCAGATGGAATAGTGAGCGCACCCCCTTTGAAAGTGCGCCTTGATTATGTCACATGCCACTAAGGTGCCTTTTCGTCTTTTTGCCAGCCTATCTCTTGGTGCATCAATTTCGAGCTCTCTAAGTTTGCAGGGGGTGGGAGGAAGGAGCAGCCAGGAGGCTGGGGTTGGGGTGGCTTCAGAGGGAACCCAGTGGGTTCCCACTAGGGGGCAGCACGGAGCCACTGCTCAGAGCCAAGGCTCAGAGCCCAGGGTAATCTCATTGCCCTTCAAATGCAGTGATGAGGTAAATTATTCATCGCTCTATTAGGACAGTGAGCTGTGTGCGTGGGTCCTGCGGTCGGGTGAGTTTCACAAACTGCCTTGTGGACAAGCACACCCCTCCCCCACAACAGGAAACTGGTGCTTCTGGGTAAACTCGGGCCTCTGTGCTGCTTCCCCAGGGCACATTGTGAGCGTCCAGAAATTGCCAGCTCTGTGTCTCCCGGGCTGTCCTGAGGACTGCCCTGTGAATCAGGGGCTGGGGAACTTGTTACACCCAGAGCCGGAAAGCGGCTTTGTGCAGCTCTAGTCCTGCAGGTTGTGTGAGAGCCGCAGGCCACAAGTGAATGGGGGTGTGGCCGAGCGCCATAATACTCATTCATCTGGACATGGGGACCTCGTATGTTTCCATGCACAGTGTCATTCAGGTGACTTTTTCCCAACCAACTGAAAACAACCCATCCTCGGCTCTCAGGCTGTGCAGAAGCAGGCAGGGCTGAACTGAGGCCAGAGCCCAGTCTGTCGAGCATGGTTCAGCATGAGAGCTTTCTCTTACCTGTGAAGAGTTGTCCCCGTGGCCTCTGACACAATCTTACCATGAACTGTGCACAGTTAAGTGGTTTTATCTTGAGTACAAGTTAGAAGATTCTGGAAGCAGAGCTCCAGGCCTGTAGGGAAAATGGATTTTGACATAGCTCTCTTTTCTGTTGTCCCTCCCTCTGGGCACCAGCTCAAGTTGTGAGGGATGGCTGTTGGCAGGTTCCCAGGGTCCAGAAACTTCCTACAGAACTGTGGCTTCAGCTCCTGGTGGACGCTCATAGGTGCCCACGTAGACTCACATGCCCACACCTGTTCCAGAGCCAGGCTTGTTAGCACACAGTGCTGTTAGGTATCCCAGAAATCCGAACACAGAGCCCGTACTTGTCTTTCCTGAGCACATATCCTTTTGTTGAACTCTGCACCTCAATTTGAACAGAGAGCACAGAAGTGGAGAGTGCCCAGCACTGGCCGTGCCCATGTGTTCACCTCACAGGTGTCTGCCGAGCACCTGCCGGGAGCCAGGCTCTCTCTTGGGCATTGGGTGCAAAGATGAGTGTGTGAGATGAACCATGCACATCAAATCTGTGGACTCCACGAGGCATTCTAAGACTTTGGAATAGAAAAACTCATCTGACTCCAGTGCACGCTCTCCAGGAGATGCATTTGCATCTCTGCACTTTTTGCATGCCCCTGGTTTTTTGTTGAAATAGTCCATCGGCGAGTTGTGTGTGCACGTGAAAGATTCCACTTCTTAATTTCTTTTAGTACTGGCATTGAACCCTGGGGTGCTCCACCACCGAGCCACATCCCCAGCCCTTTTTATTTTTCAATTTTGGGAAGACATTTCAGTGAGTCGCAGAGGCTTGCCGCAGGCCTCCCTCGTTGCTGGGTTGCAGGTGTGCACCACCAGGTCTGACTGTGTCCTGCTGCTTTGATGATGGGCATGTTCACTTTCTGGACTGAATGAAACTGTCCTGCCAGAGGCGCTCTGGGGCGCACAGAGGACTGTGTCTGGGCTGTTTCTCCAGCGCATGCACCAGTCAAGTGGTGTTCTCATTCTGCACATGAACAACGAATGGAGCCTAGAAAATTCTGTGGCTTGCCCTGGTCATCTGGCTGGGAGGAGAGGGAGCCAGGATGTCCTTTGCCTGGGAACTGCCCAATGCTCAGGAATAGTGGCCTTCTTGTGGCTGAAGCAGCCCCAGGAGGCCCATTTTAGCAGAGTCTGTCAGGACGTGACTGATGTCCGTCCAGCCCTGAATGGGACTTGAAGAACCCCACACAGCAGTTAGGGTGAGGAGAGCAGCCCATGCTGCAGCACTAGGATTAAAGCATCCAGTACTATTTATGGTTTGATCCCATAATTGTTATATAAAGAATAATTAACAGGGCTCAGTGACACCTATAATCCCAGCAGCTCAGGAAGCTGAGGCAGGAGGGTTGCTAGTTCAAAGCCAGCCTCAGCAATAGTGAGGAACTAAGCAACTCAGTGAGACCCTGTCTCTAAATAGAAGACAAAATAGGGCTGAGGATGTGGCTCAGTGGTCAAGTTCCCCTGAGTTCAATCCCTGGTACCCCCTCCCCCCCAAAAAAAGTATAAATAGAGCAGTGCAGTCCAGTTTGTTCAACAGTTTTTACACACTGCTGCTCCATCAGGAGTTTTGAAAGTATAGGTGCCTGGGCCTCCCCTCCTGTGGGCCTTCCTCTTCCGAATCACCCAGCACAGAAAGCCACACTTGTCAGCCTTTCTGGGAGTGGCACATTCTGGAGGCACCAGAGTACTTAGCTCCCTGTGCCCACTGTGGGACTCCACAAGGCCACGTCAGAATCTCCCGCTAGTGGTCCCAGGCCATTTATGTTAAGGACCCCTGGGAGTTGCCAGTGGGAGACACGCAGAGGGAGGTGGGGGGGGGCATTCAGGGGGGTTGAGGACTAGTGAGATCATGAGCAGCTAACTTGTTAAGTTTAGTTGGACACAATACCTTCATTTATTTTTATGCGGAGCTGATGAGGGAACCCAGACCTTCGCACCTGCTGGGCTGCTGGGCAAGCGCTCTACCGCTGAGCCCCACCCCCATGAGCAGTTTTTCTCTGCTGTTTTTTCTTTTTAAATTCCTTTTTACTCACTTTTCCTTTCCTATTTTTCCACAATATGATCCTTTTAAACATCAGAACATAGGGTGCAAGTACTTCCTTAAAAGCCGCTAAAGCGCCGCTCAGAGTTCATTTTTGCCTAATCAGGCAGCCCCTGGGAGCTCCTGGCAGGATGAATTTTAAACCAAGTCCAGGGCAAACCCAAGGCCCAGCTGGCCGCCCGTGGTCCCTGCAGCCCCGGCCTCTCCCCGCCCCCTGCAGTACCGCAGCAGCCTGGCGTCCCTGAACGGGCTGGAGGTGCACCTGGAGGAGACGCTGCCTGCCGAGGAGGCGGGCCCCGCCCGCAGCACCTACACCTTCACGCACTACGACCGCGTCCAGAGCGTGCTCTCAGGTAAGGGCCGCCGGCGGGCTGGCGAGATGGGGCCCCTCCAGGGTGCGCAGCCCTGGGACCTGTGGGGCTCACCTGGCAAACACTCCTTCCCTTGCTTGTCCTTTTTTTTGGAAGATGGGAGGGGGACTGATGGTTTCCCATTTTGAGAGGCGTTGCACTTGGGCAGGTGTCTCTGAGGTCTACCCCACAGTTTGGGATCTCTGTAGGAGCCGGTGTTACTCTAGGGCCCCAATAGGCCCGCCCCCTGCACCTGGTCCCCGCCCCCGTCACGGCCCTGAGCTCCGGCACCACTCAGGTCCCGCACAGGACTTAGGGCCACGGGAGGAGGGGTCTGCTCTTCACCATCTCTGTCCTCTCCTGCCAGCGAACCTGCCACTGGCGGCCACCCCCCAGGACCGCCGCTTCCTCCAGGCCGTCAGCCTCATGCACTCGGATTTTGCCCGGCTGCCCGCGCTGTACGAAATGACCGCCAGGTGAGCCTCCCCCATGCCCCAGAGCACCTCACCCCCGGAAGCCCATCCTGATTACTCTCTCCAAGGGCTCCCTTTACCTGTTCCATCGCTGCCACCTCTATTCCCAGGCAGTCACGTGATAGGGCTTTCCTGGGTCCCTCCCTGTCATGGTTCTGTGCCTGTTCCTAGGGAGGAGGCTGGCTGTTCGCTGGCCACAAGTGGTATTGAAATAGTGTTGCTCTCTTTCTAGTTTAAAAAAAAAAAGCGATAGGGGCTGGGTTGAGGCTCAGTGGTAGAGCACTCACCTAGCATGCATGAGGCACTGGGTTCTATCCTCAGCACCACATAAATGTAAAATAAAGATATTGTGTCCACCTAAAATTTAAAAATATTAAAAAAAAAACAGCGATAAAAGCATTCATAGTTGGCCACTTGGCACACACCTGTAATCCCAGCATCTCGGGAGGCTGAGGCAGGAGGATCTCAAGTTCAAAGCCAGCCTCAGCAACTTAAGGAGGCTCTAAGCAACTAAGTGAGACCCTGTCTCTAAATAAAAATATAAAAGGCTGGGATGTGGCTGAGTGGTCAGTGCCCCTGAGTTCAGTCCCTGGTACCAAAAAAAAAATAATAATAATAATAAGCACGTCAACTTCTTAGAGACCTGTGATGTGTGCTTTCTCCCTCAGCCGTCACACACCCAAGAAATAACCGCATTTCTGAGTTTAGTGTGTTACTGCAGTTTTATTTTTATTTTAAATGTGTTAATATCCTTCTAGGAAATAGTGTCCTCCTAGTGCACTGTTTCCTGGTTGCTGTTTCTCATGGTCACACCTCTTGAGCACACCCCTGCCGGTAGAAACAGTCTGCCAATTATTGTAATTTGCAGTGTGAGGCAACCTAATTGTTTTTCCTTTCTACGAGCTTCTGTTAGGAAACTGTAAGCAGGAAACAAGGCAGGTGAGAGGGTCAGAGTGGGAGTGCCTTGTAATGATTTGGGTCATTTTTGTATTGTCTTTTCTGTGTGTGGTATTGTGTCTTGGATCCAGGGGGCCTCTACCACTGAGCTACATGCTAGCACCTTTTATTTTTTATTTTTTAAATTGGAGGCAAGGCTTTACCAAATTGCTGAGGTCTCACTAAATTATTAAGGCTGGCCTTGAACTTGTAATCCTCCTGCCTCAGCCTCCCAGGCCGCTGGGATAACCAGCGTGTGCCACCATGCTGGCTTTTCCCCCATTTTGAAGATGAGGAAGTTAAAGCACATATAAGATCAGCCACTTACCACAGGGTCACCTTCTTGTTCTGTGGCAGGGCTGGGATTTGAACTTATGATTCTGAAGTGCACGTTGTTCCCCTCAGGTTTCAGCTGGGGGCAGTGTGGGCAGGTGGGGCTGTGGGCCTTGGGCCCACTGAGGCACAGGTTTCTTGGCAGGGATGACGTAACCGTCTTATGCCTTGCTTGAGCACCAGGTATTTCCCTGCCTGGTGCCGCTGGGTTGGCGTTTCTGTCTTCCCACCCTAGTGCGTCTTCCTGCTGTAGCTCAGGGCTGCCCCACGGGCCACCTGGATGTGATCTGCATCTGCAGTCAGTGGCTGGGACCTGCTTGTGCTGGGGCGTATGACGTTCTGTGGGAGGTGGCAATGAGTGAAATGTCAGCATCTGCTCCACCAGCTGCTGGGGGCTGCGACATGCCACCTGCCTTGGAGCCAAGAGGGCCTTGATGCTAAAACATCACACGCTGGGAGGTGGTCTTCCTGCTGATGGGGGCAGCAGCCGCCTGTCTTGAACACTTGCTGTGTGCTGAGAAATTCACTTCTGTATTTCTACCATGTGACCTTTAAAACACCTTCGGTGTGGGGAGGCCGTGTCCTTGGTGCACAGGAGAGTGGGGACTCAGAAAGGTGGTCTCGGCACAGGGCACACAGCCAGGGAGCAGCGGGGCTGGGATCAGCGCCAGGTGTGTGTGATCAGGCCCTGTTGTACCTGCCAGGCCCCAGTGCCTCTCACAGCCGTGAGGCGCCCGTACTGCCCTTCCACAGAGGCCAAGACTCCCTCGCTCCCTCAGGCCCCTGGGAGGAGCCAGAGGAGGGAGCCCATGAGCCCTGAGCCTCCCCTTCATGATGGATCTGGGGAGACAGGCCAGTGGGGAACTAGGTTGAGATGGAAGGAAGCAGGTGCCAGGGGGTCACCGATGGGGCCTCCTCTGTGTTGTGCCCCTGTCCCTCCTCTTCTGTGTCCCCAGGTTTCCTGCTGCCACTGTCACATCCCCCTATCCTGTAACCACGCTCCCCCAGCCCATCTGGCCTTCCCTAGGTCCTCCCATCTTCCTCCTATGCTGCCATTGCTTCATTGGAAAGGAGGGCAGCTGGGACCCTGCGCCAGGTGTCTAGCGGGACAGTCCTGCCACTCTCGAGGCTGACTTGGGGAGTGAGCAGAGGCTCTGGGAACGGCCGAGGGCCACAGGGAGGCCACCCTTCTGCTTGAGTCCATAGCTGCTCCTGCCGGCCCTGGGTGCAGCCCTTCCCGGCTGCCGAGGACTGTCCCAGCCCCCTGGGAGTTGAGAGAAGGGAAGACGGTCATTGGCACTGAGGCCTGTAACTCAAGTGAACAGAGTCCCAACCCACATCAGATGACACCCCAACCACTGGGTGGGCCCTGTGTGGGCTGCGAGGCCCAGGGCGCCACGGGCTGCTTCCCCTCCTTCCCCAGGAACGCCTCCACCGCCGTGTTCGCCTGCTGCACCCCCGCCCAGGAGACCTACTTCCAGCCTCTGGCAGCCGTGGCCCGGAGCTCCGGCTTCCCCAGCCCTGAGGACAGCGCCTTCAGCCTCCCCGGCCGAGCCAGGCAGAAGCTGCTGAAACACGGGGTGAACTTGCTCTGAACTGTGTCCACAGCCACAGGGTCTGAGGAGCAGTGACCTTGAACAGCGCCAGCAAGGGGAGCTCTGCCCTCAGTGAGGCCTGCGCCGTCTGTTCCTTGTGGAGTGCCCCGTTCCTGGGAAGGGGCCCCAAGTGCCACTCCCTTCCCAGCCTGGGCTGTGGGTAAATGGGGGTCCTCGGGGTCTGCAGACGTGGCGCAGTTTGGTAAGCGCCCTGTTTGGCCATATGGGGCCAGGATGGCTGCTAGGTCCTTGTACCAAAGAAGCTCAGGGTTGGTTGTTTCCCTGTCACCCTGGGCCGGAGGCTTTTGATGTCCCTGCTTCTGTTCATCCCAGCCTGAAGGGTGCTGCAGTCTGAGTTGGCATTGTATTCTGGAACCTAATTGTCCCCAGTCCAGGGTGTTTGTTCAACCCCATCACAAGGTGGGCAGGGTGAGGTGTCCCGATGAGGAGGGGGGTCTGTTACCAGCTGTCCCCCTCATTTCTCAGGTCTCGCCCTCCTCCAGGGAGGGGCTGCAGTCTGACAGTGCCAGAGGAGCCCCGACTGCAGGTGGCACTTCAGAAGATCCACAGTGGAGGAGGGAAGGGCAGGGACAGCAGGACCAACCTTGCTGCCTTCGTCAGGAGCAGCTCTGTGGCTGCTTCCTTCCGTTGGTGTCCCCAACGGGAGTTCCCATGACCCTCAGGGCAAAGCAAGACCGAGTTCCCAGCAGCTGTGAGGGGGAGAGTGGACCTTCCCCTGGCAGAGCCCCTGCAAGGTGGTCAGGCGCTGGGGTCCAGGACACGGGTCAGAGCTGTCCAGGTTTGCTGGAAACACCGAGATGCCCTTAGGACTCCTGGTGGAGCAAGTCATGTTGGGAGCAGTGGTGTCGATGACCTGTTGTCTTTTCTTGAAACAAGTTTCCAAGGGCTAAAAATAAAACACATGTCAAAGAGTTGTCAGTGGCTGAAGAGTGACATTTCTAGTGGCTCCACCATGTTCATGTGAGGTGTATGCACAGGGCACCCCCTGGTGTCGGCGTGGCTCCCAGAGCCCCCATCATGCTCCAGTCTAGGACGCCGAGGACACTGTCACCCTGCATAATGAGGGACTGACGACAACGAGGAGGGCCTGCCCTTGCTCAGCGTGGACAGGACTGTTTCTCCAGATGACTTTGATATGTGGTTGGTTGAATTCACAGGTGGCCGTGCCGTGAGCACAGGGGCAGCCGTGGTCTCTGCTGTGCCCGTGCTTTTCCTTCCCTGCGATCCTTGTGGCCAGGAAAGGAGCCACGCGCAGGGACCAGCCCTCTGCCGGGGAGGAGCTGTGGCCTCTGCGCCTGTGAGTGCCAGTTCCTTAGGCCCACGTCACCTCCTCTCCCTAGGGTCCCTCCCGCCACTGCAGGTGATGGAGGAGGCTGCTGCCTCAAACTAGGATAAACTCACACTGTCCTCTGCTGGGGTTTCACTCCTGTTTCCATGCCGGCCCCTCAGGCACGCCCCACAGCAAACTTGGCTGCAGTTCCTGCCTTTCCTGGCGGGGGCACTCAGGAGCAGCCTTGCTCTTCCTTTTGCTAATGGAGCCTCTGGAACTTGGAACCCAGTCTCGAACTTGGTGAAATCACGACCTGTTACCGTGTTATGTGGCGGAAGTCACGAGTCCAGAGCCATCTCATGGCCTCCAAGCAAGCCGTGCTTCCTAAGAATGTCCTTGGCTGCCTCTTGCCTAGGGCTGAATGTCAGCCACCCAGCCAGCCTCGGGTCCCAGTCTTAACTTCACAAACCTCCCTTCTCACCCAATTCCACAGGCTGCTTTGGATACAAAATATATCCGTTTCTTAGAAAGCAGGACAGCAGGCAGCCAGGGCTTCCTGTGAAGGCCCACCCCAAAGCCGAGTCCTGACCACAAAGGGTGCGCTGAAGTGCGAGGACCGCAGAGGCCCCCCTGGGCCGTCCTGAGGCAGGCCTGTGCCTTAGTGGACCAGCCGCCCCGTGAACCTGCTGCAAGCACATCCTCCAGCCCCATGCAGCCCCCAGAATGCCAACCCAAGCCACTGTCCCGACCTACATAAATTGAGGTGTAATACATGCACTTGAAGCCCCTGTTGTAACGTGGCACAGCAGGACAAGACACACATGCACGCCTATCTCCACACACCTGTCCAGGTTCCAGTTGTAGGCCAGGGACCTCATCCCCACCCAGCCACGCTGCTCATCACCCTGGGCTCAGAGCTTCAGTTGGGATCCCAGCTACCTGCGGTTCCTCCTCGCAGACCCGGGCTGGACAGCCACAAATTGTGAGCTCGCCCGCATCTTCCACAAGGCCCAGACAGAGCTGGTACGGATGGCCAGCTGGTCTCCCTTGCCTCCCTCTGGGACCTGCCCTGGTGGCTTTCCACTCACCCCCCTCCTCAGAGTGGGCTTCCTCCCATGGTGGCTCCCAGAGGCCCAACTGTCTCCTGCTGCCAGTTACCTGGGCCTGCCATGCCCAGCTTCTTGGGGACAGGTGCCTGTGGCCTGCCGGGAGCCCTGGGTCAGACTACCATGGGGAAGGGATGCTGGGGGAGAATCCCTCCCTGGTCCTAGGGAAGGGTGGGAGCGGGAAGAAAGGGCACCCCCTCACACCAGTGCTGATTTAGTATCCTGGGAGTGGCCCCAGTGTGAGACAGGCCCACGGTGCCTCCTGTGTGGTAACCCTTTGCCAACAGAGCCTCAGGCAGGCAGCCTGGGGGTATGGAAAGGCCCCTGAAGCCCACCCTCCTGGGGTTGAGGTCCCAGCACAGGCAGCCACGGAGCCTCTGTCCTGTGCCCAGAGCCCCAGAGGTCAGGGAGCTGCAGCGTTATCGCCAAGGCTAGGTGACAGTGGCTTAGAAGTGGCAGGAAAAAGAATGCCCAACCCCCAGCTTCCTGTCCAATGTCTCAGGCATCTGGGGCTCTGAGCGACAGCCACAGGCCCACGCCCTCAAAATGAGTGAGAGCAGAGACCCCGGGGGGGCCACACAGCATGTTCCTGCAGCAGGAGCACTGCCCGCCCTCCTGTGGCGGCAGGGCAGGTGGCCTGTATGGGACGGTCCACGCTGGCTTCACTGGCCTCACAATCTAGAATGCTGCTGTAGAGCCTGCAGAAGCCATGGGAGGGGGGGAGCAGGAGGCTCTGATGGGGTCAGTCCCTGCAGGGTTCCTGCCCTTGTGCACTGTGGGACTCAAGTTCCTGGGAGAGATTAATAGTGGCCTTCGGATTCCCACTGGGAAAGGCCCTTTGTTCCCTAGGGAAACACTGGCACCTAGTCAAGCTGCCTCTTCCCCCTGAGGAAGCATCTAGGCATCCAGTACTCCTGCCACCACCACAGTGACAGTGACAGACAGTGTGGTAGCTAAAGGAGACTGGCTTTTTTTTTTTTTTTTTTTGTACCAGGAGTGCTTGACCCCTGAACCACATCCCCGGCCCTTTTTACTTTTTATTTAGAGACAGGGTTTCAGCAAGTTCCTTTAGGTCCTCGCTAAGTTGTGAGGCTGGCCTCAAACTTTTTGTCCTTCTGCCTCCCAAGCTGGGATTACAGGTGTGCACCGTGGTGCCCAGCGAGACTGGGATCCTTGTTGAAGTCTCCCTCGCTGGTGTTTCTCTTGGTGGAGGTGTCAGGAAGCCCGCAGCTACTGGAGGCTGGGAAAGGTAAGGAATGGACCCTGGAGCCCGCAGAGGGTGGGTATGTGACTATGAACACGTGGAATGAGGTCCAGTTAGACTGATCTTGGACGTCCAGCCTCCAGAACTGTGACAATGAATCTCGTTTGCTTTAAGACACTGAGATCATTTGTTACAGCAGCCAAGGAAACTAATACACCCGCCTGCAAATGCAATACTGGTGCTGGTGATTCCAGGCGCCCGTCCTTCCAGAGGGCAGTGCGGGCAGTGGGAGAGGTGGCCCCCACGAAGGGCCATGCAGGGCTGCAAGGTCTGGGCCAGGAGGAGACTTTAAGCTTGGGTGGCTTGGTGTGGTTTCAGCAGAAGGGACGCTGGCTCCTGAGAGAGAAGCAGGGCGAGAGGCAGCCCTTCCCCCCTGTCCCGCCGTCCTGGTGGCTGGGAGGAGCACTTCCAGGTAAAGGCCTGGGTCCTGGCCAGAGCCCTGTGGGCAGGTGGCAGGTACAGATTGGAGGCGCTTCCTTCCCCCGAGGTCTGCAGAGCTGCTGCCAGGGGCTGTCCCTCCTGGAGCACGCAGGCTTTGGTGTCCCAGAACTGGGTCCAAATCACAGCTCCACACCTTACTGCCGTGGAAATCAGGGTCGGTCACTTTATTTCTCTGACCCTTGTGTCCTCTTTGATAAAACAAGGGGCTTGGTGTCTTGTGGACCCTCAGCAGAGGAGTGTCCTGAGAAGGCAGACCACCGTCCCCACCCAGTGTCAGGCAGATGTCCAGAACCTGGTGGGCAGCCCTCTCTCGGTCTCCATGGGTAACTGGTTCCAAGACCCCAGTGGACACCAAAACCCAGGGACATGCAAGTCACTTCCAGCACAGGGGTCACACAGCCAGCCCCCTGTGTGCTTCAAGCCATCTCTAACTTACAACAACTAACGCAGTGTCAACGCTGGGTGAACGGTCGTGGCCCGTGTTGTTTAAAGAACAATGACAAGAAGTCAGTACAATTTTTTTTTCCAGAATAGTTTTGACCCAGGTCGGTTGAATCTGACGAGGAACCTGTGGACAGAGGCTTGGATCACTGGCTTCTCATTCCAGCTCCCGCCGGCCACAGGCTCTGTTCCCAGTGACTGCTCACGCTGAGCCTGGCTTCCTCGTGTGTTAAGGGTGTGTGACTCTCCCTGTCCGGGCCACAAGGATCTAATGGCATGATGCAGAAGGACCCTCATGGGGCGTGCTCTCTGTGCTTGGAGAAAACACTCTATGAACCTGGGGTGGTTCAAATACAGGGTGTGGGGAGCAGAAGGCAGGGCGGGGAGGCAGGGACGAGGACCGACAGGACACCTGGGAAGGAGGCAGAAGTCCCCAGTCCTCCTCTCCTGCCACCTAATGCCATAGTCTGCTTGAGGGTTGTCATGCCTTCTGTCGGCACCTCTGTAAGGTGTGGCCGTTTTCTGTCCTGTTCCTGCATTTACATCGGTCAGCAAGTCAGCGAGGAGGCCAATGCTAGGGAAGGCTGCAGAGCGGGCGAGATGGTCCTGAGAACAGCACTTACGACTTGGCTTGGGCTCTTCCTCTTTGTGTCTAACACACACACACACATGCAGTCCTTCCCCTCCTCCCAGAACCTGCCTGATCGTTGTTCTGTTCGAATCTCACGCTGCGCCTCTGAGAGCAGGCGCCAGGCCCCACAGACGAGGCGTGCAGTGGAGGAGGACGTCTTGGTGGCTACGGATAGAAACCACAACTCAAGCTTGGCTCAAGAATAAAAAGGGAGCGGGTGTGGTGGTGCATGCCTGCCATCCCAGTGGCTCAGGAGGCTGAAGCAGGAGGATCAAGAGTTCAAACCAGCCTCAGCAATGGTGAGGCCCTAAGCAACTCAGTGAGACCGTCTCTAAATAGAAAATAGGGCTGGGGGTGGGGCTCAGTGGTCGAGTGCCCCTGAGTTCAATCCTTGGTATTCCCCTCCCTCAAAAAAAAAAAAAAACAGCTGTCCCTTTAGAAGCTGGGTTCAGGTGCCCAGGGCCACATGGGGACAGAGCCGATGCCACTCTCCAGCCAGCTTGTTTCCAAGACCTTCCCATCCTGGCCCTTCAGAGCAGAGCCCCTCAGCCTCAGCTGCACGTTAGAACATGACAGGAAACGAGTCACAGGGCAGCCTGCTGCCAGGGGCCACCCTGAAGAGGCCCCTAGTTTCAACCCCTGGTATCCCCTCCAGGGAAGGTGCCCTGGCATGCGGGGCAGTGGGGGGTACAGTGTGTCTCAAAGCTCCCGGTGGCTTCCTGTGCAGCAGCGTCCAGAGCCAGGCCACAGGGCCACCCTGCCTGTCCCCTGCTCCATGTTGTAGGCACACAATGCCATTAATTTGCTCAGGGGCACCAAATACGGAGGATGTAGGTGACTCTGGGGGATGACGAACAGGCACCTCTGGGAGAAGAGTTCAGGGCCCACTGGGTCGGGGGGCCTGGGGTGACCTTGCGTGGACAAGGGGTTGGTCCTGCCTGACCGCAGGGCCTGAAGGGCGCTCCCAGGCTGCTACTGTCCTCCTGGGAGGTGGGGTCCCCTCTGCAGGGGCAGCCAGGCCCCCTCCCCACCCCGGTGTCCCCGCGAAACACGGAGGTCACCTTAGCAGCTGTGACTGGTGGCACACGCATGGGAGGTGAGAACACCAGGGCCCCAGGCGGCGGGCACTCTTCCCTTCTGCTTGCTGTGGCACCTAGGGACTCTTCTGGCTGGAGCTGGGCTTGAGTGCGGAACACCTGGTGGTTGGGCAGCTCCCGGGGCTCCTGGCCCCCAGTCCCCGCTGCCCACTTTAGGACACACAGGCTGTTTCTCTACCAGGTGTCCTTGGTACCGCAGGGAGGAACCAGCGCTGGCCCTTTAAGGGCAGGTGCTGTCTCTTCAGGGGGCAGACTGGTAAGTGACTTGCCAGGTGACAGGGAGTGCCTCCTGCCACCCAGCCCTGATGCCCAGCTGGGCTGAAGCCAGCGTCCCTGTGCCCTGCCCAGGTGACAGCTGTGGCTCTTGGCGTTCTGCAGATGGGCTTCCCCACCCCTGATCTCGGAAGGGCCGTTGCTTCGGCCACTCTGTCCGCCCACTGCGGCAGCCCCCCCACCTCTGTGACATGATTCAATAACCAGGGGCGCAAATTCCTGGGGCGCCCGTCCCTTGGGTTCACGCCAGCCTCCTCTTCCTCCCCACAGACGACGTGACCACGTCACTCTGGTTTTCAGCAAGATCCTTTATTTATCTCTGTCCCCGACCATGACAGGGGTCCGGGCAGCCAGGTGCCTGTGTGGCTGTTGGTTTGTAAACTGGAGCAGGAAGGTCGGCTCGTGTGGGGTCATGCACCTCGGCGGTTCTCTGACGAGACACGTGACGGGCACGGGGACTCCGGGTGACAACCCTGCCTCCTGTGTTCCCCTCGCCCGCCACAAACGTGTCCTTTTCACACATAGCCAGTGACACCCGGCGCTTCAGATCCTGGCTTCTCGCACCGGCTCCTCCCAGGGGCCTCAGTTCCCATTAGGACACCAATGGGCCCCGCGCCAGAGCCGTGTGCCCCACTCCACTGCTGTGTTGCGTGGACCTCCACTGCCCCGGGGACACTGTCCCCACAAGGTCCCTCTCGTGTGGCTCCCCTCATCTCTCAGCTAAAGGAAGCTGTTTCGAGACCCAGGCCCCCGGGGCCTCTCCTATGGGCGGACATGTCTTCACAGGAGGCCACCCAGCTGGTGCAGTGCTCTGGGTCTTGGGATCTGCAGGCCTCCCTGCGCCCTCACCCACGCTGGCCCTGGTCACCTTCGCTGGGTGCGCAGCCTCGTGGGACAGCAAGGCGCACGGCGGCCCCCGCAGCCTCTGAGATGCGCTGGAACCTTTGCGAACAAACAGGGAGAGAATCATGGGTACAGACTCCAGGTCAAAAGGGACGCTTTGGTCAGAGCTGGCACTGCCACCCTCGGGGACAGCCCTGGTGGGAGTCGGGTGGCGAGCCTCCCCCCTGGCAGCCTGGCCCTGCCCTGGACCACCCCAGACTCCAGACGCTGAGGGGCTGTGCCCGGCCTGGCCTGGCAGTGGGCGTCTGTGGGCAGTGAGGTGAGTGGCCGAGGCTGGCCCAGGAGCCCGGCCCAGCTCTGGAGGACCCCGGCCTCGGCTCTGGAGGAAGCCACCAGCAGAGGGCCGGTCCCTGCAGGGAACTGACGGCTTTGGGCAAGAGGACAGTGGCCACAGTTCCCCGACCCTGGACGCCACCCCTGGGGAGGCCTGCAGCCCCGCTCCCTGCCACCAGAGCCAGCCAGGTGCAGAGACCTCAGACTGTCCCCTGCCCTGGGCGGCCGAAGGGTCCTCCATGTGCCAGCAAAGTGGCCGCGTGGCTGGCTGGCAGGTCTGCTTTGCCTGGAGATGACCACGAGCAGCTTCGTGTCCGACAGCCGGACGGTGGCCGTTTGGTTACTCTGTTTGAAAACACGTAGAAACCAAGGGGCGACGCGACAGACGGACTCACAGAGGCACCGTGTCCCTGGTCACGGGCCCAGGGGACGCACTAGCTGGCCAGAAAGGAATCTCAGAAGCGACAATTGGAAGGAAGGAGGAGAAAAGAAACCTAAGGAAACACAAGCTGCAGGCTCCATTTACAGTGACCACGTGGCAGAGGGACCACGCCCTCCGAGATCCCAGGGCGCTTCCCGGGAGACAGGTGCTGAGCGTGCCCTGTGGCCGCAGCAGGCGCACTGTCCCGGGTCCGCCCAGGTGTGCTCCGGCCCCCCTGGCCGCTCCAGCAGGGAGGTGTCCTCATCGCCCAGGAGCGAAGATGAAGTCAAGGGCCTGCCGCTCGGCCGCTGCCACGTTCGGATGCCACAAGTCCACCATGAAGACCACCCGGGGGCCATCCTCTGCCGACCCTGTGGGGAGGGGGACAGAGGGGAGGTTGGTGGCCCGTGGCCAGGACCCAGGTGTGGCAGGACCCGACCCTGCATGCTCTGGGCTGGGGACCTGTGCTGTCCCTGGCCTGGCTCACAACACCTCCCTCCTCTGATCCCTAGGCTCAGGAGGCTCTGAGCAGGTGGACTGCAGGGCAGCTGGCCAGGCGGGGACAAGCGCTATTCTTAAGCAGTGGAACCACGGGGTACGACACTGTCCCCTCTGTCCAAAGCCACACCAAGAGCAAGCCCAGACTTGAGCTCAGACTTAGGTAATAACGCGTCCAGATCTGCTGGGGACGCTGTGGCTGCGGGCAGCTGGGGGCTGGGATGCGAAGGAGCATGTTTGGTACTTTCTGCTCAGTTTTTTTCTGGAAACCTAAAACTTTTTTTTTTTAAATATTTATTTTTTAGTTGTAGTTGGACACAATACCTTTATTTTATTTATTTATTTTTATATGGTGCTGAGGATCAAACCCAGGGCCTCGCACTTGTGAGGCCAGTGCTCTATCACTGAACCCCAGCCCCAGCCCTCTAAAATTTCTTTAAGAACTAAAATCTGCCAGGGCGCTGTGGTGTCCGCCTGTCACAGTGGCTCAGGAGGCTGAGGCAGGAGGATCGCGAGTTCAAAACCAGCCTCAGCAAAAGAGAGGCCCTAAGCAACTCAGTGAGACCCTGTCGCTAAATAAAACACAGAAGAGGGCTGGAGCGGGGGCTCCGTGGTCGTGGGCCCTGAGTTCAATCCCTGGTACCATTTTCTGGTCACGGAGCCAGAGGGACGCACTAGGTGGCCAGAAAGGAATCTCAGAGGCAAACGACTGAAAGGAAGAAAGAAAAAAGAAATCTAAGGAAATACAAGCTGAAGGTCTTCCACTTACAGTGACCACAGGGCAGAGGGACCTGCCGCCTTCTGAGATCCAGGGGCGCTTCCAATGCACGTGGCAAAAAAATAAAATCTGTTAAAAACAAAATGACGACATGGGGGGGGACCCACCTTCATGGAACGCGGTGTGCAGGAAGGAGTCATCGAAGAGCAGGCAGCGGCCCTCGGCCCAGCACTGGGGCTCGCCCCCCACCACCAGCTCACAGCCGCTCGGAGTCTTGAGCCCTTGTGGGAAAACAGAGAGTGAAGGCCAGCCTGACCACCGTCCACAGCTGTCACCACAGTCCTGTCCCCTGGGCTTTCTAGTTGCAATGAACCGCCTGCGGCCTACAAGGGGCTTGCCTCTTTGAATTCCACCTTCTAACCCATTCTGAGGCCCAGGGTGGAGGCTCTGTGTGGTTCCTGGCCTCCTCCTGCAACCCAGAGGCCACCAAAGGAAGTGCTGGGCCTCAGGAGGGCCTGGGTGGGCACCCTCGCAAGGAGCCAGGTTCTGGAGACATCGGTGAGGCCGAGCCAGGGCCATCCCTTGGGGACACCACTGGCCTTCACGTCCCCATTCCCAGCCTCAGCCGAGACACTTGGCTACTGCCACCATCTCGGCTGCCACAAAGAAAGGCACTGTCACAGCTGCCTGATGGCTTCCTCAGGAGGTGGGTCAGCCTGACAGCTCAGGAAGGGCACGGGAGGAAGCCCTGGGAGGGGGCGGGTCACTGGTGGCTCCATCTGTCTTCAGTGATGCACTAGGGAAGGGTGACCCTGAGCAAGTCAGCATGCCCTCTGGATCCAGGGTCCTTATGACAAAAATACACACTCTTTCTCTCTGGCAACTGGAGTATTTTTATGTACTCTTTAAGCCAAAGTGGATGGCTCTTGGAGGAGATCACATGGAGGTGTAGGAAGGACAGACGACTTGGGACAGATGATGAACTCGGACCTGTCTGTGCTGTGTGACTCTGGGCCAGCCACTCAGCCTCTCTGAGCCTTACCATCCTCATCTGTGAAAAGGGGACATTAGTATATGTACCTTCCAAGGCTGCTATGCAGCCTTGTTACCAGTAACTGAAGGTTGACTGCGCAGGTCTGGGCCACATAAACACTGCGCAGAGGCCACCGTATCACTCTAGGAGTAATGGAGCGGTGATTGGATCTGCTGAAAAGTTACTATTTGGCCCTTGATGGGGCTGATCTGTTTTGAACCCCAAAATAGTAGCTGCTGGACACTTTGATGACAGTCACAGGTCACGAGCAGCTACACGGAGGTCTCTGCTCACGGCTGAGGTCTCCGTGTTCAAACTGCCAACAGTCCGTCTCTGGACGGTGCTCAGCGGCTCAGCTGGCGTCACTCTGCTGCTTGCGAAGGCTTTGGGATGAGGGAACTCTCCGCAGGGCCAGTCCACCCAGGGGTTCGGAAGGAGGCTCCCCTTTCTCTGGCCCCTCCAGGACTCACTGCTGCTGCGCCAGGGCAGCGGGGTGCGGCTGGCTGACCACGGCCTTCCCTGTCCTCACTCCCCGGCCTCCTGCCCTCTGCCCATCGACCAGCCTGGGGGGCACAAACGAGGAAGACTCCCCCCCAGAGCATTTGGGAGGCCCTCGGGGGACAGACGGGCCCTGCGTGGCCTTGGACAGTCCTGCCTGTCCCAGGATCCTTGGTGGCCTCGAGTTTGCTCCTTTGTCCCACCAACCCTGACGGAAGCAGGAAGACACCGGGAACTGTCCCCCCAGCAGCCCCTGCTTCAGGAGGTGGTGGCCAGCAACTGGGAGGGGGCAGGGAACACAGGCTGGTCCTCCGGCCCCTCCCGTAGGACGGCTGGGCCCCGTCCACACCCACAGTGACAGGAGGGCCTCCCTGTGCCCGGGTGGCTGTGCACACTCTGGTCTTCTCAATGACTCTTGGACATCTGCCTGGTGAGTCGGGGTCTAGAGCTGCTCCCTGAGAGGGCCTCAGTACTGGGGCCTGTCACAGCCTGCCCCACAGGGGTGACGGTGGGCCCAGAGTGGTCAGCATGGAGCGACAGCCAGAGGATGCTCACAGCAGGGCCCAGCGCTCCACAGAGCACCAGAGCGGCTGGAGGCCCTCTGGTGTGGAGGGACAGGGACGAGGAGGCGGGGGAGGGAGCAGAGGCCCAGGACTGTGTGCTTCCTTCCCTTCAGCTGGGACAGCGGGCACCAGTGTGGCTGTAGGAGGGGACCCGCAGGAGGGGACCCGCTCGGCCAACACACAAAGTTACGGGGTGCACTTCAACGTGGGCCTGGTTGCGTGAGGAGCACGTGGGGGAACCTGGCCCTGGAGGTGGCCTTGGCCCTGGGGACCCAGCCACACCTTGTGCGGGTACAGGAGGACCCCCTTTTGTTGCGAGTACCAGCTGGGCCCAGGAGGGCCATGCCCAGGGCCTGAAGTCCTGTTCTACACTGATGTCCACTGTGCGGGGCGGGGGGGGGGGTGCTGACACACGGGGGTGGGGCAGTAGTGACGGGGACTTCTTTGCTACCCGTCCTTGGTGGCGGCATCAGCCTGGCACTTCACCACATCTGCCTGCAGGGCCTCTGCCTGCCCTCCCCCCGCGGCCCTGGGTCCCATCCCCAGCACCCCTCAACAGCACGATGCCCAGCTGGCCTGGGGCCTCTGGCTGCCTGGCCCACAGCTCACCTGGCCATGGCGGCCCAAGTTCCAGGAAGGGCTGCGCCCGCACTCAGCCCAGCAGGCCCCCTCCGCCCTCGGGTCAGGCACACCCCCACCCCCCACCCCCGCGCCTGCCCAGAGCCTGCCTGCAGCGCCAGCTCCCTCCAACAGCTCGGAGCGCCTGGAGCCCTGCCCAGTGGTTCACTGACCACGTCGTCCCTTGGCTTAGCGTCATGCCACACAGATGACCTGCTTGGCCCCGCCTGCCAAGGTGTGTGCCCGATGCTCTAGAGCAGCCCTGCAGGGAGGTGGCTCCGCCAGCACAGAGGGGCAACAGGCTCGGCCCCGGGCCTGCCCAAGGGCACCGGGAAGGGGGCCAGGCCTGGGTTCAGATCTGCTTGTTCCCTAAGCCATTCATCTGCCATGTCCCAAGGGCAGTGACCACGTCTTGCGGGTCATTTCTCATACCCTCAACACCAGGTTGACCATGACAGCTACCACCTAGCATTTAGCCACGTGTGCCAGGCACCGTCCCGGGTGGCCAAGCAGGATGTCACTCCTTCAATCCTCTCGGCCATCCTGGGAGGTAAGTCCAACTTCTCCATTTTGCAGGGGGGACTCTGGGGCCCAGGGAGACTCAGTCTCACAACTGACCATGACTCGAAACCATGGCTCAGGAGCTCCCCTGCCCGGCCCTGGCTCTTGACATCCCCACCACGTCCAGGGCTCTGTCTAGACCTTTCTTCTCTGGAGCTTAGGAGCAGCGACTTCTAGAGTGAGTCCCCACCCAGAGGGTGGGGAGCAGGGCTGCTGCAGGGGGCTCCCCCGGGCAGCTCCAGCGTGGTCCCCTGCAGAGCACACTCAGGAAACCCCACTCCACTTTTCCTTGTCCCCTCTGAAGCCCAAGCCATGTGGTCCCTTCCTAAAGCTACTACTGTCCATCTCGGCTCACTCTAGCCTGGGAGACGAGTGACTGATCCACGGCCCCTGAGCCAGCCTCTGTCACAGTCCACCAGGAACAAGGCATCCTGGGGACTGAGACCCCCACTCACCAGGCCGTGGTTAGGCCTGCCTTGATGGCAGAGGCTCTGTGATACACATCCCCTGGCCGGGCGTCACGCTGGCTCTGCAGAGGACCGTCATTTGACCTCTACTTTCCACCTGAGGAAGCGGAGGCTCAGAGGTGAAATATGCAGCCAGCTCATGGGACGGCCGCAGTGCAGGTGGCCTGCCCCAGACCCTGCCCCACTGCTGAACACACACACTTCAACCTCCCAGGACTCCCCACCAGGCCTCACATCCTCCTTGATGATCAGGAAGCACCAACGTACCTTTCACAGGCTCTTAAAGCCACTAGGAACCTCAAGGGTCTTTGTGACAGCTTTTGGCTCTAGAGCTATGTTGGCTGAGACAGTAGCCACTGGCCAAATGTGGCCATTAAAACTGAAATCAAGCCAGGCATGGTGATGCACACCTGCAATCCCAGCCACTGGAGGGGGGGGCTGGGGCAGGAGGATCACAGGTTCAAGGTCAGCCTCAGCAACTTAGCAAGACCCTGACTCAAAATAAAAAATAAAAAGGGATGAGGGTGTGGCTTAGCACTGGAGCACCCCTTGGTTTAGTTCCCAGAACCTCAAAAACAAAAACAATTAAAAATTGAACCTTTCGGTTACTCCAGCCGTGTTCAAGCACTTGGGGCTGAAGGTGGTTAGGACATACTTTTGGACAATGAAGATGGAGAACGTTTTCCTCACTGCAAAAAGTTCTGGCCACAGCGTCTGTCAGACATTGGCTTAGGGCATATGTTAGAGTGTGTGTTAAGCATATCTGAGAGCCTGAGTCCACTGCCAGAACCATAAAAAATAATAATTAGGTTTATACTAGACCCGGTGCAGCGATGCACACCTGTAATCCCAGGCACGTGGGAGGCTGAGAAAGGAGGATCACAATTTCAAAACCAGCCTTAGCAACTAGCAAGGGCCTAAGCAACTTAGAGACCCTGTCTCAAAAAATAAAAAGGGGTGGGGATGCGGTTCAGTGGTTAAGCACCTCTAGGCTCAATCCCCCCCAACCCTCCCCCCCAAAAAAAACAAGAACAAAACCCTAGGTTCACAGTGACGACAAATTCCTTCCAGGACTCAGCTGCTGCTGTCCCAACTACTAACACAAGATCATCCACCTCCGGTAAAAGCACCGCGAGCCTAAGGCACACGTCTGGCTCTCCGAGCCGCGGTGTTTCCTTTCTCCGACGGCAGAGGCGCCGTACTACACGCGCGTGCAGGCCGCGGACCCCTGTCCCCGCCACCTACCTAAGTGGCACCGGATGCGGATGTTCGTGGGCCCGTAGTGCTCCGTGATCACAGTCCCGGGGCTCAGCACGGAGATGCACGCATTTCCAAAAACATTGTTCCCAATACAGGTCCGAAGGCTTCCGAGCAAGCGGTACGTCCGTGGGCACTTCCTGCAGTTCCTGGGGACGCAAACCCCCTGATTGACCAAGTAAAAGGTGAGCCACTCCCCGCTGGGGGTGCTGTTGAGCTTCCAGCCCTGCGGGAGGCTGCAGTTCGAGAAGGCCTTGTAGAGGGCCTCGAACTCGCACAGGACGGTCTGGAAGTTCCGCTCGAGCAGCTCCACGTCGTGCTTCTGCGCGTCCCGGGAGAAGTAGGGCGAGGTGGGCAGGTCGGGCAGGAAGAAGACCTCGGGCTTCTGGATGGAGGGCCGGCTGCTGAGGTAGCGGCCCTGCTCGCGGATGCCCTTGTGGATGCGGCCCATGCCGGACCAAGAGTAGCGCTTGGCGTACTCCTGCAGGTTGTGGTAGAGCTTCTGGTTGAGGCCCTCGTGGGTGCAGCGCACGCACTCGGGCGCCTGGCAGTAGGCGAAGCCATTCTGCAGCCCGTGCGCCTCGGCGCCCTGCATGAGCGCGTTCACCGACACGTAGGGCCGCGGCTGCTCCCTGCCCACGTGGTAACAGTACCACACGAACAGGACCAGCAGGCAGGCCACGGTGACCACGGCCGTGCTGTCGCAGTCCCGCACGGACTGGATGCCGGTGGCCACGCAGTCCCTGAGGCCGTCCAGTGACCAACCCCAGGCTACCAGCCACTCGAGCGACATCTTGGGGGACTTGTTACTGGGGGTGTGAAGCCAGATCAGACGTTCAGTCCTCTGGGGTCCCAGGGGCACCCACACCATGCAGATTAGCGTGGGGGAGAAGGAGCCGCTGGGGCCGAGGAGGGCATGGCCGCCACTGTTCCTCGCAGCCTGCCACCGGTGACATCGATGAATGCTGAGGCTGGCCAGCTGGACCTGCCACTCCACTCCCAGCGAAAGTCACTGCGACAGGGTGGCAGGAGATGGTCTACATCACACTAGCAAGCTCCAGGTCTCTGCCAGAAGACTTTTTTTCCAAAATCCAAACCTGGAATGAAAGAAAGAGAATACAGCATAAATGTTAAACATTAAAGACTCTTCAAGTGTAAAGCTCTAGGTCATTTTGTAAGGCCCCTGATGGTAGGGGACACTTGGCAGTCTTGTATATCCTACCCTCATTTTACCTGCACCCCCATTTCCCAAAAGACCAGCCGTTGCTCCTCTACATCCATCAGGGATGGCTTGGTAACTCTGCCACACCCTAGGAGGTGCTACTGTCCCCATTTTAGAGATGAGAAAACTGAGGCACAGAGAGGTCAAACAGCTCATCCAAGTCACACAGCCAGAGCCTGGATACAAACTCCATGTGCCTTCTAAGCCTACGTGTGTCCATCTTACTGTCTGTTATTCCCCTTTAATTACTGCCTTTAAGGGAAAAGGAAGCTGGTTTCAGAAGTACCTCATCAATGACAAAGGGTCTGTCTGAGGGGTTATCCTTTCTCTTCCCAAGCACATCACCATTCTTACTGAATCTGGCTGCCCTCAGTCCAGGGTTCGGCTAATACCGACTTGGGAAAGGAAGTGGGTGCCCTGGGGTCACACCTGTGGCCGACAAAGGGCTCTTCTGCTTTCCAGCTTGGAGACAAGGCACTAGCTCACCCACGTGGTCAGTGAGCAATGGGGTGAAGTGGAAGTAGGAGTCCTTCCAGGCCTGTGACTCAGTTTCCTGCACTTTCCCAAACAGGAAGCTGTGGTTTGCCAGTCATCCTGCCTATGGTTGGGCCGGTGGCCAACACCACGGTTATCCAGAAACCCAAGGGAGGATCATGGCCCCGGTGCGCAGCGGCACGACCCTCTCAGACCTGGGCTGCGTGTCTGCGAGTCCCTTTCTCTGCCTCGCTTTCTCTGAGCAGCTGGGAACAGCAGCGCTCTGTTCCTCAACAAGCCTCTACCTCCCCACTCCTGGGGATGTCACTTTGTGTTTTCCCCTTCTCTCCTGGGAATATAGGAAGACAGCTGAACAAACGGGGAGATGGGACCCTCCCCGTTCCCTGGGGACACCCTTGGCCTCGAAAACGTTTGCTGCTCAGCAGAGAAGTTCTGAGCCCAAACTGGAGACGGGCAGGATCAAGTGTCAATGCCAACCCCAGGCAGGTCACGGCCCTCGCCAAGTCTCAGCTTCTGTAACCAACAAATGGGGCTCACATTCCTCTCTCCGGCTGAAGGTGCACACAAAGTACTATGACTGCGTCGCTGGGAACACCCAATAAGTGCTGGTGACTGCCAGGAGGGGCGGCACCCCCTAGGGCTGGCCAGCCAACCAGAGGAGGGTCATGAAAGGAGGACTCCACTGGATCCCAACAGCTCAGTGTGAACCCCCAGCGCTCCTCAGACCCAAATCTCAAGTGATTTTTCTGTCCCCAGGCTTGCTAAGGGAAACCTTAGGTGCTCATTAACTGCCTACTGGCTTCTTCCCAGTTTTGGTTGAATAAAGAATCACTTGACTACAATGTTTAGTAAGTCAAAAACACACTCTGAATATTCATGGGAATTTTTTTATGTTTCTAGGAAAAATACCAGTGTTGGGGAGGTTAGAGGCTACCCTCCCCCCAACACGGTCCCAATTGCTCCTCGGATGCAGAACAGGGAAGGGCTGGATCCCACTGGATATGGAGACTCATCCCTCTTGTCTTCTCCTAGACCAGCAGCTCCTTCCTCTCAATCCAGATTAAAGAAAGGTGTCTTGTTTGCAGCCATCCCAGGCAGAACCCCGGGATTCCTGAAATTCAGTGTGAAGCTGTCACGAGGGAGAGAACTAGTGCTTCTGGGGAAAGGATTCCCCCCACCACTGTGCTGATACCCTAATTGGAATTCTCAAACTCTGCCTCTCAGGAGCAGTTTCTTCCTGGATGCTCTAAGAGTGAGATGGCGATGATTTAACACACCTGTTAAGTGTTAGTTCCCAGCAGCCCTGCGAATCACTCAAGTTCAAGTCCACAAAATGCAGACACAGAGAACTGGGCAGATGATGAGGGACCTCGCCACTGGCCACCCAGCTGCTCCCCGCCCCCCTCCTGCGGGAAGCTTCATCTGTCAGCCATGCGCCCTCTCCAAGCAGCAGCGAACCAACAGCTGTGAAGACCTGACGCTGTGAATCCCAGCTTCGGACCCTCCTCAGGAGGCCATGAACCTGAGAGCTGAAGTTTGGACTCTCTGTACCTGCCAATCACTTTTAGCCAAAATAGTTCAGCGACCAGAGGTGGATGTACAAGCCCACAGCCTATCCATGACACTAAAAGAAACCCTGAAACGTGGTCGTTTCTTATGAATTGCTCCAAACATTCAACCCCCCAGCGACAGCCCCCACTGCCACAGGAGCACACAGCTCCTTCTCTCAGGGACAACTGTAACTTCCAGCCTTCTACCCACATCTGTTCATTTGCATGTTTCATTTCTGTCCCCACCACGGATGGAAACATCTCAGGGCTCCACACTTTAATAACATGCAAACTCAGACCTTAAATGTCAGTTGGCTCTGGGGAATAGGGTCCAAATTCAAGCCCAATCAAATGTAACTTCTGACAGGATGAACGCCTGCAGACCCTGCCTGACCCAGCTACCCCAGTTTAAATGGCCAGTTCAAGGGGCTGCCCAGTGTTCAAGAGCTTCTGGTCACCTCAGGACCAGGCCACCCTGAACACCCAGAAAGGAGCAGCCCAGCGCTGGGCCAGGAGTGTGATGCATGGAACCCTCTCCACTCCACTCCGGAGCCAGACTGCTGCGCTGGGGCCAGCTCTCCCCGTGGGGCTCTTCCCTCCCGCCCTCTCTGGGCCAGCGTTCTCAGCACCCACCGGCCTGGAGAGTGGGAAAGAGGGGCAGGCACAGGGTGAGTTAACGCAGATGGTGACCACCAGGAAGTCAGGGGGATGGGACGGGGAAGGTTAGTGTTGCCAGGAAAAGTGGGCGATCGGCTGCGATGAGGGCAGGAGGTTTATGGCGCCTGACAGCTAATGGGACAGGGGAGGTGGGTCACCACGGGGAATGTGGGAAGCGGGTGATGCTGAGGGCTGGGAGAGGCGGAGAGGAGGCGAGGAGCCGGGGTTCCCAGGGGAGGAGGGAGAGG